ATACTAAGCAAGCTTGCACTACGCGTAAAACACAAAAAACAATAGCACATCCGAACCAGAAGGATCTAACAAAACAACACCAACAAGACCCCAAAGGCCAACAAATCTATCTGAAGACAGGAAACAAGCTAAACCTGCACTACAAGACTGGGAAAACGGTGAAGGAAGCTCACCAAGGCCAACAACGAAGCGGATCTGCAGCACCAAAAAGAAGGTGAGCCGCTCCACAAGCCAAAATCTCAATGGATATGAGCTGAGCAATCTGGAGACCTCCTGAGGACAACGACTGTGAGCCATATCCACCACCTAAAACCTCGACTGACACCTATCCTCCAAACACATCCCAAACCATAGCTAAAGATTTGAACCCTATACCCACTCGAAAAGACTTTGAAGAACCCTATATTAAAACAAAGAGCTTAATATACACATGCTCCAGCGGTGGTGCTGAGAGAGCCACCAAACGCCGGAGACCTGAATCCAATCTTACAAGAAGCCAAGTTCTGTAGCAAAAGGCGGAGGAAATAAGAGAGGAGAGAGAAGGTTTCCATTACACTTAGTTTAAAGCTAGCCAAAATTTCCAAGTTTTCGTATAGACAATAAATTATTATTTTAATAATCTTTACAACAAGTGAGATTATTTGTAGATTGAAAAGCGAACTATAGTTGAAATATATTATTTTTCAAGAAACAGTGATGATGAAGACAGAGAAAAATATACAAAAACTAGTGATTTCAAACCCATAGGCCCAAATACGGCCCACTATTGTCACAGAAATTAGGGTTTATCATCTAAAACTCCCAAAATTCGTGTTCATGTCAGAATCGAATCTATGAGTGAGTTTTTCGCTCTCCAGTCTTGGGCAATTCCGATTTCTCCAATCCAAGCAGATAGTTCTGTTGAATCGCTTCTACACTGTTTCTTCTTCCTCTCTGTTTCATTTTCATGTATTCTCTGATACTCCACGGAAGAAGGTCGATCATCGACTTGCAGAAATGTCTTAACTTCAGATTTTCAGTGCAAAATGCGTTTGCTTTCTCCGATTCGTTCTCCTCTGCTTATTATGCTACTGTTGTGAGGTCTCAAGATGGTCTAAAAGGTCAGACTTTTACAGTCTCTTACCTCGTTGCTTCTCTGGGATTAGCTACAAAACTCGCTGAATCGATCTCGAAGAAAGTCAGCTTTGAGGACAAGGGTAATCCTGATTCTGTTCTGAGTCTTCTTAGGAGTCATGGGTTCACAGATTCTCAGATCTCCACCATCGTTACGAACTACCCACGATTGCTTACATTAGATGCTGAGAAATCTGTTGGTCCAAAGCTTCAGTTTCTACAGTCCAGAGAAGGAGCTTCAACCTCTGAACTCACTGAGATTGTTACAGAAGTCCCTAAAATCTTAGGAAAGGACAGATCTATCAGTGTATACTATGATTTCGTCAAAGAGGTTATAGAAGCTGATAAGAATTCCAAGTTCGAAAAGTTATGTCATTCTTTGCCACAAGAAGGTAGTAAGCTGGAGAATAAAATCCGAAATTTATCGGTTTTGAGAGAGCTAGGCATGCCTCATCAATTGTTGTTCCCTTTGCTTATCTCAAATTGCAATTATGTCTGTGGGAAAGAGAGATTTGAAGAATCCTTTAAGAAGGTTGTTGAGATGGGTTTTGATCCGACTACCCCGAAATTTGTCGCTGCTTTACGCGCTGTTTACTCAATGAAGAACGAAACAATAGAAGAAAAAGTTAATGTCTATAAAAGGTTAGGCTTTGCTGTGTGTGAAATATGGGAAATGTTCAAGAAGTTTCCAATCTCTCTGACACTATCGGAGAAGAAGATAACTAAGAATTTCGAAACCATGAAGAGGTGTGGACTACTCGAAGACGAGGTCCGCACTGTGCTAAAGAACTTTCCGCAGTGCATCGGTCTTTCAGAGGAGAAGATAGAGAACTCCATTCAAACATTTCTAGGTCTAGGATTCAGTAGTGATGAGTTTGCGATGATGGTCAAGCGCGTTTCTTCGTGCATTGGATATTCTGCAGAGACGGTGAAGAAGAAAACCGAGTTTCTGGTGAAGAAGATGAATTGGCCACTAAAGGCTTTGGTTTCAACCCCTCAGGTATTTGGATACAGCATGGAGAAGAGGATTGTGGCAAGGTGTAACGTAATCAAAGCTCTAATGTCGAAAAGATTGCTTGGAACTGAATTACCTCCAATGTCGTCTGTTTTGGTATGTACCGATGAAATGTTTTTAAACAAGTACGTGAGGAAACACGATGATAAGCAGCTAGTGCGTGAGTTGATGGCTATCTTCACTGGAAAGACGAGTAAAGCTTCTGAAAAAAATAGAGCGTTTCGAAGTCTATAAAGTCTTAAACTTTCTGTAAAGTTTTCGCTTAAACCCGAATCTCAAATATTAGTTCTTCTAAGCTGTGATCGTAGTACCAAATGGTTCATGATTCTGTTCGATTGTGGAACTCTGAAGTATCTGGTTACTGATAATGAGTAAGAGATGAGTTTGGTGGAAAATCAGTGCGAGTATTACGGAAACAATCAATTCAGACATCTAATTTGGAACCGCTAAATAAAGTTGCAATTGTGAATATGTTAGGTTCTCTGTGGCAAGTTCTTGGATCAAACAAGTCACATATACTCATTTATATCTTATTTGAAGAAGATTCATTATAAGCTTAACCATTGAAAATACTTCAGAATATAAAAAAAGACAAAACAGAGTGATGCAAATGCAAGAGTCATAAGACTTGAACAACAAAAACAAGATGCAACATACTTAAAAGTAGCATATATTACTTGCTTAACTTCTTCTTCAGTTTACTCATCGGCCTTCTCCACCGGAACTTCCGCCGGAGCTGCGATCACGGCGGCTACTTCCGTTGGTTTCTCCTCTTCTGCTTCTGTTTCCTTGTCCTCGTCTGCAACAACAACCACCGGAGTTGT